ACTCCCTACTTCGGCTTGGGCAACCGGGTAGTATCACGCCCTCTCGCAAAACCATGGACCGTATTACAACTTGCTCATCAGCTGCTGTTTCTGCTAGTCACTTTCACGCGACTTCATCACACGCCAATTGTTTGTTTGTTAACAATCCTCACTTTCCGTTACCCGATTCATGTGTTCAACAATCTGGCTGCGATTCCGGTTGCTCTGCAGACCAAGAAGTTCAACCTATGGCTCTCCTTCGTCCCCGATCCTCGTTCCGTCTGGCGTGCTTCAACGTTCGGACACTCATGCAGATTGGACAGCAAGCCGATCTAGCGCGCACCCTAGATTCCCTAGACATTGATGTCTGCTGCCTTCAAAATCCCAGTTGCATGATTCTAGCACTGTGCTTACATTGACATCCTTCACTGACCTCGAAGCCAGATATCACCTGCTTTTTTCTAGAGATCCAGAAGCAGCCTCAGCGGGTTTGGCTGGTGTAGGTATAGCACTAGGTGGCAAGGCTGAGGCGGCACTACTGCACTGGTTCCCGATTAACAGCCGACTATGTGTAGTTCGGCTTCGGGGTTCGTGTAGAATCAACAAGCACCGCGAAGTGAGACGCAACTTGTATGTGATCTCCATGTGTACTCCAACTGACTGCAGTGGCGACTCGGTCAAGGACGAATTCTACCGGGATCTACAACAGCTTTTGACTAATGCTAAAAAGTCGGATGTCGTTATCCTTGCTGGGTATTTTAATGCACGGTTTAGCCGCCTGTTACCATACGAACGCCAACTTCGTGGGCATCGGTCGCTCGATGAGAACCGCTCTGATAACGGAGAGAGACTTCTCACATTGTGCGAAGACAACAGTCTGTTTCTTTCGAGCACTAACTTCAGGAATACGAAGAAGCGTTCCGCAACGTGGCGTCCCCCTTCGCCAACAAAACCGTGGTCTAAAATTGACCACATTGCAATTAGCTTCTGGTGGCATGGCAGCGTATTGGAGGGCAGGTCCTTTTGGTCCACCTTCGTTGACTCAGACCATTCTCTGGTCTGCGCGAAAATCTTTATGTGTTTTGGAGGATCCCGAAACATGAAGCACTGCAAGCTTGATGCAAACAGATTAACTGATCCCTCTGTCCAGGCGAGCTATCCGTCTTCATTGGTATATGCACTTAGCTGCAATCCAACACAAGAAGTGGAACAACACTGGACTTGTATACGGAAGGCAATGACCATTTCCGGACAGTCATGCTGCGACATAACGCGACGCCCCTTGGAGGCTTGGATCTCTGCTCGTTCTCTGGAGATGTTCGAACGCCGCAAAGATATCCTCGCGGAATCATAATGCAACGAGCGGCACCGTTCTGCCAACCGGCTGCTCAAGCAACGCTTACGCAAGGATCGCGAGGCATGGTGGTCTGAGCGTGCTTTAGAGATGGAGACGGCTACACTCTCTGGCAACACTCTCAGGCTTTTCCAACTCATCCGGTCCACTGGCCTTAGGAAGCCTGGTGTCAGTGAGGTCATTTGCGAGGTGGATGAGTCTCCGAGCACCAACCAACAGAGGCGTATGGACGGCTGGGCCGAGCACTTTCACTCGCAGGTCAATTGGCCTCTACCATCCATCAGTACATGCAGTACAACTAGTTGTCCACCCTGGCTCCTCCCACTATATCCACACAGCGAAGCGGAAGTCTGCCTCCAGGTTCGGCACTTGAAGCACTTCAAGGCTGCCGGCTTAGACGGACTATCTCCGGAGCTATTCAAGTACGGCGATGTGACGATCATTAACCAGCTGACTGCGCTGTTCGCAAAAATTTGGCATGAAGAGAAAGTGCCTTCCTCTTGGGGCGAATCAGTTATTGTCCCGATTTTCAAGAAAGGCGCTCGCACTTCATGTGCAAATCATCGCGGGATTAGTCTTATTTCGGTTGCCTCTAAGCTATTGGCATCCATTCTGCTTCGCAGGCTATCCCCAGTACGTGAATCATACTACCGTGAAGAACAAGCTGGTTTCCGTCCTGGCCGCGGATGCGTGGATCAAATCTTCACGCTCCGCCAGCTCCTCGAACATCGCCACATTTATCACAGGCCCACTATCATTGCATTCCTAGACATACGTGCCGCTTTTGACTCCGTTGATCGACCTGCTTTATGGCGTTGCTTACTAAAGAACGGGGTGCCAGAGAAATATACCGCCATCTTACGAGCACTTTACCTTCATACATCCGGCAGAGTGAGGGTCTATGGCAAGCTTTCCTCGCAATTCGCTGTCAATAGCGGTGTGCGACAGGGCTGCCCTATGTCCCCATTCCTCTTCAACTTCGCTATCGAAGACGTTCTGTTGAATGCGCCAGAAGGTTTTCAACATTGTGGTTTAGAGCTTCTACCAGATGAGCGCGCGACCGACTTAGATTATGTTGATGATATCACTTTACTTGGTGACGATCCTCGGAGTATGCAACTCATTCCGGATCGTTTGGTGCTTGAAGCATCTAAGTATGGCATGAGCTTCGCCCCATCGAAGTGTAAAGTACTGCTAGCGGATTGGCATTCAATTGCTCTCGTGCTCACTCTCGAAAATGCACAACTTGAACAGGTAGATAGCTTCATCTACCTTGGGAGCTGTGTTTCTGCTAACGGCACTATCAACAAAGAAGTTTCTCTCCCTATCGATAAAGCTCGATCCGCGTTCGTAAATCTGAGGCACTTGTGGCGTTGTCGCGAGGTCTCATTCTCGCTAAAGGGCCGCCTTTACATAGCATCAGTTCGGTCAGTGTTGTTGTGTGGAAGCGAGTCCTAGCCGATTCGCGTGGAAGACATGCGTCGTCTTTCTGCATTCGATAACGGTTGCTTAAGGAGGATCGCTCGTGTTCGGTGGCAACATCGAGTTAATAGTAATGACGTTCGACGTCGCATCTTGAGGAATGCAAGTATTTCCTTCAACAAACTGGTTTTTTTGCACCAGTTGTGATTGCTCGGTCAAGTCCTACGCACGGCACCTGAGCGTCTACCGCGTCGCGCTCTATTCGCTCGTCAAGGACCTGGCTGGAAGGGACCGCGTGGTGGTCAGCCTTCCACTTGGCGGCAGCACATGAAATCGCTGACTTCGTGTCTAGCCGCTGTTGGATCTGTACGACTTCCAGAATGGGGACCCAAGGATGATGAGTGTCAATGGCTCAGCACTCTTGAAGATATGGCCCGCAACCGGAATCAATGGAAGAATTGTGTACAGTAATGTATTGATTCACATGATTATTAATATAAAGATTAAAATGAGAAAAAAGACCAAAAGTGGCGTGTAAACAACAAACTAAAAATGTTTTGTTCTACTTTTTATCAAAATGTTCCATTCTTCCTTGCGGCATATTAGTTGAACTGTGTTGCTCACCTTCAACTAGCATGCCATGATGGTTAAAAAACACGACGAATCTTGCTTATCTGCTGATCTTCATGGTTTTTTGCTGGCTGTATGTCTAGTTAATAGACTGTTGAGATTACATACATTACATACATCCTGACTTGTTTTGAGCCATCGACACTTCGTTCTTAGGCTTCCAGCCAAGCCTGTGTGTGGATCCAACGGTGGCCAGATATGAAGTCATGTATTTCGTAATCAGTCGCCACGTGAACGATTGACCCACGCTTTTTCTAATTTCACTCCTTTCTTGCACGAATGAACTGGGCGCACTGTGGGAAACGCAGGGCCTGACCCAGCCATCTTAATTGAGGCAGCAAAATCAGCTTGTCGTCGGGATTACCTGCATTCTCTAAGACATGACGTCTGACTGTAGTGCTTTAGATACGCTGTTGCCATAACAGTCGAGCAATTCTGGTCCAAGCACCAAGTCAGGTCAGGTCAGGTCAAAATCCGTGGACGATACAGGCTTCCTAACGTGCGTCCAGCTTCTTGTACCGGTAAGCGAACCAGAGCCCCTAGCACTTCGACTTTTGATCGCCTCTCCTTGCCTCTGCAAAAAGAAATGAAGCAAAAGCGAGAGCAATCTTTGCTTTTACAAGGATCAACATCGGATATCAATGCGAATAAAATTGGATAGGATTATATTAATTCCGAAAAATACGCGGCCAGAACCTGTCTAGGCCTGCTTTGAAGGCAACCACAGTCTTACAACCCATTAGTTCCGAAGGCAACTTATTCCAGTTGCGCACTACACGATACGAGAAGAACTTAGCCTGACGTTCAGTCTAGCCATCTGCTGTTTGAGCTTCAAGCGATGTCCACGCAAATGTTCAGAATCAGCCAGCTCAAATAAATCAGAGGGCACGATGGCACTGAGGCCCTTCATGATCTTAAATGTTTCTATCAGATCCCCTCTCAGTCTACGCCGTTCAAGGGAAAACAACCCCAGGCTCTTTAGGTAATCTTCATACGGCTTCCCCGTTGACCTTCAACCATCCTGGTTGCTAGTCTTTGAATCTTCTCCAGGCAAAGAACATCACCACGGAAATAGGGCGACCAAGCTTGAACACAATACTCTAAGTGTGGCCTAACCACTGCTTTGTATAGTGGCAGGAACACTTCTGGCTTGGTATTACACAGAGCCCTCCTGAGGCGAAACAATTCTCGTCGCGTTTTGTTGGCGGCGTATCAACATTGCATCGAAGGCTTGAAGCTGCTCGTCATAATGCCTCCTAAATCACGTGCCTGGGTAGTGCATTGTAAGGGAAAGGGCCCAAAGGAAGTCTGAACTGCAAGTACGTCTCTACTAGTGGTCAGAATTTGGCACTTGCTTGCATTCAAGGGCAAGTCCCATTGCGTCGACCAGTTTACCACACTGACGATCAACTGTGCCGTCACGTCGTTACACCTAAGCTTTTCCCTCATTGTTCATTTTCTCTTTCCTGGATTCTGTGACTGAACTCTGCATTTCCGTCACAAGACTAAACCAGCAAGCAATGAATGCTACTACGGCCAAAAGCCCGACCGTAGAATACTGCCATTTGCACACGTGACTGCAAAATTCGATTAGACGTTCTGCGTTTAAAAAATCGCTGAAATGGCTACGCTTTTATCCGTTCAACTGATGTTGATGTTGCACGTACTTTGTAAGTTGGTACTTTTGCCAAGTTAGTCGGTTTTCCCCTTGCTTAATTGTTTAATATCGTGGTCGATGGGAAACAACTAAGGAATCTTACATATTGGATGTTATCAACTCAGTTTGAGACAGCTTAGAAAATCACGTATATGTTGTGGACGGTGGACAGTATTACACAATTTTGGTCTGCGTGTCGATACTGAGAGGTCTTGAATACCATTATGCAATTATTCCTAGTGGTAAAGAAATGCTCTAACAATTATACTCCCTTACTCAAAATAAGTTGGACTGAACGCAAATAAATGCCCAGAAAAAATGCAAACGAATAGGTTAACGCTCGAGCTCCGCTTAGATGTGCTGTCATTTTATACAAAATGCGGATTATTGCAAAAATTTACCATCAAATGAGCATAGAACTGTGTCTATTTATTCGTATAATATTATTATGCACGTTCTTTATAGGTGGATAACATCTCAGATCTTTTACCTCAATACTTAAGACAGGAAAGAAATGCAACTGGGACCTGCTGGCTGAGTCGCCAGTAACCGTTGAACATCCTTCCGGACAGCTAACAGCCGGCTGTTGTCCATAAAAATGAGTTCTATTATGCCTAATTACTAAGCACGTGGTTTCAGGGGAGGTTAAGCGGGAAGGGGAAAGGTAAAGTAACTCATAAGACAAACATCACTGAGGTCACTTCATAGCCGCAGAGACTGCATTACTCGATTGATTTTCAATCGCAGGCTGTTTGCGACTCGGCTTCAAGGCTCATGTAGAAACAACAGATATCGTAAAGAGAGGTGCAGTTTTTGGTCGTTTCTGCCTACACTACAACCGACTGCAGCTGTGCGTCGGTTAAGGCTGACTTTTATCGTGGCCTCCACAACCTTTTGAACAAGACCGATAAGTCAGGTGTCATCGTCCTCGCCCGAGATCTCAATTCACGATTAGCTCACCTGCTTCCGTGTGAACGTCATTTTGGTGGCCGTCACGCTCTTGATGAGAGCTGTTTTGACAACGGTGATAGACTTCTTACATTATGCGAAAACCACCGTCTCCTTCTATCAACTACGAACTTTAGGCATCCTACAAGAGGTGTCGCCACCTAGAGTCCTGCTTCACCAAAGCAAGCGTGGTCACAAATAAATCCCATTGCAATTGGCTTTAGTTGTTAAGGCAGATCCCGCAGATGTGGATCGATTTGGTTTACGTACATCGACGCAGAGCATGCTTTGGTCTGCGCGGACATCTGCATGCTCTTCGGCGGCTACTCAAAACGGAAGCTTCAAACTCTCAACACTAACAAGTTAGCTGACTTCTCTACTCGACCAACTTATCAAGCTTCCTTATCGCATGCATTCATTGGGGCTCCACCTCGAGACATTGGAAATCATTGACGTTTCCTGTGTGAAGCGGTGTTAACTTCCAATCATTCAATCTGCGAAATCACAAGGCGCCATCTGAGGGACTGGAGTTCCGCACACTCACAGGAAGTGTTTGCGTGTCGTAGAGGTATCCCGACCGATTCAAATAGCAAGGCACTGTGTTGCATTCTCAGCCAACAACTTAAGGAAAGCCTATGTGCTGATGGCGAAACTCGGTGATCCCAGCGCGCGTCAGAGTTGGAAATGACAGCTCACTCCGAAAACTTGCGCAAGCTCTTCCAGATCATTCCGGCCACTGGTCACGAAGGACCTGGTGTCAGTAAGGTCATTTACGAAGTTGATGGAACGCTGATAAGCAACTTACGCTGGCGTATGGACCGGTGGGCTGAACACTTCCGCATTCAATTCAGCTGGCCTCCTCCGCCAGCGAGTCTATCGAGTATACCAAGTTGCGCGCCTTGGAACGTCTCGTTGGAAACACCAACTGAAGCTGAGGTGTGCCTTGAGTTCCAACACTTGCAGCGAATCAAGTCTGCTGGCCCAGTCGGACTTCTTCCAGAGCTGTACAAGTTCGGGGGTGAAGTAATTGTAAGTCAATAATAGCTCTGTTCTCTAAGGTCTGGTGTGATGAAACACTTCCATCCGCTTGGGGACAGTCAATTATCGGTAATATCTTCAAGAAAGTTGCCAGTACCTTAGGTGCTATCCACCTAGGAATCAGTCTAATATCCGTTGCTTCCAAGCTGTTAACATCCACTCCACTCCGCAGACTAAGCCAGATTCAAGAATTGTGCTCCTTGAAGAACAAGCTGGTTGTTTGCGCTCCGCCAACTCTTTGAAACATATCATCTTTACCGCTATCCCACTATCGTTGTTTTCCTGGACACCTGAGCGGTTTTGGACTCTGTGGATCGGCCAGTTTTATGGCCTTGTTTACAAAGGAATGGAGTACCTAAAAAGTATATCGCCATCGTTCGAGCATTATACAGCAATTTCCCAGGCATACTGAGGGCTTATGGTAAGCTCTGTTCACCTTTCGACCTCACTAGCGGTGTATAACAGGGTTGCCTATGTCCCTGTTTCTCTTCAATCTTGCGATCGAGGTTGTCCTTTAAACACTTTAAACACTTTCGTAGGTTTTCTGGGTTCTGGTGAATGGCTTCTTCCTGGCAACCGTGTGACCGATTTAGGTTTTGCTGATGATGTTGCCTTGCTTGATGATGACGCACAGAGCACACAAGCCGTTGCAAACCGCCTGGCGATTGAACCATCCAACTATAGCATGACCTTTGTTCCTACGAAATGCAAACTCCTGTTCCTGGATTAATATACACCTGCTCCAGTGCTCAATCTTCCAGGTACGCAGCTTGAACAAGTGAACAGTTTTGTTTACCGAGGAAGCTGTGTTTCTGCTAAAGGTAGCATAGAAAAAGTGATTTCCCTCCGGATTGCCAAAGACCGTTCGGCATTCGCCTACTTGAGGCATCTGTGGCGACGCTGTGATGTTTCACTATTGTCAAAGGGCAGGGTCTACCATGCGTGTGTTGGCGCGGTACTGCTGGATGGGAATGAGTCCTGTCCGATTTGAGTGAGTGACTTGTGTCGGCTTTCAGCCTTTGACAGTGGTTGTCTGCGGAGAATAGCTCGAGTGTGCTGGACCAACCCCCTGCGCAACAATGATGTTAGAGGTCCGTCTTGCGTAACACGGGACTTCCACTTGTGAGACTGGTGCGTCTGCGTCAACTGTGGTGGCTGGGCCAGGTATTACTCATGCCATGTGAAGGGTTGCCTTGACGTGCTCTCTTCACTCGCACAACACCAGGAGGAAAGGAATGGCGCGGGGGTCAAGCCTATCAAGTGGCGACAAACGATTAAAGCGCTGACTTTTAGTTTAGCTCTCGTAGGTCTCTTGTGTCTTCCCGGCTGAAGGATCAAAAATCAAGAACACCGCTGGTTGGATACCATTTCAGGGATGGCGCATAACCGGGCCTAATGGAAAACATGAACTAATGTTTGTCTGGATTTCCTTGATCTACATGGCAAATATTAAACAGACAAAAGCTGTTTAAAGGGAGTGCGAAAAATAGCAAAAAGAAGAAAGGATAAGGGAAAAAGCTTTTTGGTAACTTTTATTCGTTTCTTCGTGGGCTTTGGATTTATTGCTTCCGTTTCAGAGTTTTCGTTGGTTCTCTCTATCTTATATGTTACTGATTATATATATATACATGTGGTTGTTATATATATATATATTTGTATATATAAATCGTTCCAATTCCTCAACGGCTGCGTGTAACGGCCGTCAAGCGGATCCCAATCTGTCTGTGCAAACACATTCCAGAGCTGGTTCTGCTCCCCACGGCCTTGTGGGTAAAGCTATTCAGCCAAAGGGTCTGGGTTTAATCCCACAAGCAAACCTCCGAAGTACAACGACCACCCTGGGTGCGATTGTACACGAATGCAATCGTATGCATGCGCGCAAAGCACTCAGCGCCGGTTGCTGGAACGTGCGCACACTACTGGACCGGAACTCCAGTGAGCGCCCGTAGCGACGCACTGCACTCGTCGCGATGGAGCTGGCTCGTTACCACATCGATATTGCGGCGCGCAATGAGACTCGTCTCGCTGAGCAAGGTAAGTTGAATGAAGCAGGTGCTGCCTATAAAATCTACTGAGTGGGCAACCCCGCGTCAGCGCCACCTGAACATGGGGTCAAATTTGCAATATCTGATCTCCTCCATGGCCGGCTGATGGGTGAATCAACAGACATCAGTGCGCAACTGATGACTGTTCGTCTACGACTCGGAAGAGATAAGTTTGCCACCTTTATTAGCACATCCGGTCGGACTATGTGTTATCCTGATGACAAGCGTGATCAATTCTACATTCAGCTATCTTCCGTGATACGGTCTGTGCCGAGGAGCGACCGACTATTTCTGCTGGGTGATTTCAACGCGCGCGTTGGATGTGATGCATCGGTGTGGGCAGATGTTATCGGTTCGCATGGCATTTGCTCAGTGAATGCAAACGGTGACAGGCTGCTCTCACTGTGTGCCACGCACGGCCTGACGATCACGAACACTCGGTTTGTACTGAGTGCGAGTGATATAGCAACTTGGACGCACCTAGGGAGTGGTCACGCTCACCTGCTCGACTATGTCATCGCACCGCAGCGTGATATGCGTGAAGTGCGCATGACACGTGTACTGCGTAGAGCTACGTGTGGCACTGCTCACAAATTAGTGCAGACCAAACCGTACATATACTTTCGTAAATCAATGTATTGCACTGCCGCCTTGAATCGGTGTAAATTTAACATTCTGTCCCCCGGTAATAGGGCGAAACGTACTGCGCTGGAGAAGGCCATGGCTGCATGCCTCTGTGATGTGGACTGCATAGTCACAGTGGGCGACTCGCGGCACCACATTCGCGACCAGGTGACAGCTGCTACCGAGGAGATCATCGGGCGCGCGATCTGCAAGCGGCCTGATTGGTTTGACGAGGACATTGCGACGGTTGGCTCATTGATGTCGGCGAAGAATTCAGCATTTGCTGCACATGTTGCAGGCCCCAGTGATTTGGGGAAGGAGAGTCAGTTAAGCAAACTTCGACGGCGACTGACGCGAT